TCGGGATACGCCCAGAGTCACGGAACGGATTAAGTTCGTATCCCGAGGTACCACTGTACTGAGTTGTATTCACTTTCACCACCCAGAACGAACAGGTATAACTTTAAAATAAGAGATCATAAGCTTCTATGGTCCATGGATCACTGAGTTTAAATGCAGAAATGTCAGGCCCTAATGCAACCTGATTGTTGTGGAAAGTAATCTTAATAAAGAAGATTAGATCTAGACCCAAATGGCTGAGCTGGTCAGCAGTGGAACCGAAGATACTGCTGATAGGATCCACTAAAATTAAAGATGGATTTCCATCTATAAAAGGCCCCTCAGATGTGGCTAGGCTATTATTCCCACTGGCCTGGGCAACATGGACAATAGTGGGGAACCATAAAACTACAACTTCCAAGAACTCTCTTTATTTATTGTATTAATTGAGCCAGTGGGAATTACAGCACTGCAACATCTAAAGGGCTACAGCTTCTCGTCCACTGTCTCATTATAAGATCCATGTAACACTAGCATCTCCTGGGTCCTGGGTAGATTTCCAAGTTTTCACATTTGCACAAAGATCTGTAAAGCTCCAGCACTCACCATGCCAGAAATGGCTCCAGCTGCAAAACTGATCATGAAAGTGGCTTCATCAAGGGAGAACTGCCTACAGAGCAGAGCTTTCATCAGTTCATAGTTATACCAATACAGAGCTGCGGGGAAGCAAGAGGAAAGAGGAAGGAGAGAGGTTGCAGATATCAGTTCACTACAGTATATTTTTCTCTGCATAATAGAGAAGGTATACTAATTCGTATGGTTTGTAGCTCTCCCAATCCAGCTACATTATGGGTAGTTTTGCTCAGATAGACTAGTCAGCCACACACTACTGGGAAAGCCAGAAATGACTTCCATTGCCCAGACAGGAGTGGCACGGAGACCTAGGCACACACCATCTACCACTCTGGAAGATTAACTTCAAAGTGGAAATGGGTGCCTGTGGGTTGTATCATCCCAGCTCCTGTAATGTATTTTTTTTAAAGTATGCAAATTTCCTTTTTAAAGTCTTCAAAGTGGCAACTGCACAACTTCCTTGGCTAACAACTGAGAAACTGATGAATCTTTTGCTCTAAAACAATGCCCATCTAAGTGTTTCCAGCTCTTTGTTTGTAATGCATTCCAATCTCCTTAAGTCCTTCTTGTTGCTACTGATCCATATCCCCTTCTTGAATCCATACCTGAGAAAGGAACATCTCGTAACACTGTTGGGCCCCAACCCCTCCAAAGAGACATCCATCCATCCTGGGCCACCGCAGACTGGATGCAGACACGCAGTTCCTGGTAGCTCAGCTGACGAGACTGCATTTTTGTTCGGATGAGTTCCAAGGGACTTATCACGGTTACTGCACCCACTATGGAAGAGAGTCCAATCTGGCATGAGAAACCAACTTTTATTGATCAAGGCTACTTTCTTGTGCCTCAAGTCAGGGGCCCGTTAGAATACCAAACTGACAGGCTGGGTTCTTTTACAAAACCACTGGCACAGAAACCAAAATAGCCTTTAGGTGGTTGAACATTATAATATCAGGGAATTCGACAGAAGGTTTAATGAAAGAGTTATCTGGCTCAGCACTAAATCTTCTCACTGCTCAGCAATATCTCCCTGTATCAGATAAGAGTGTTACTGAAAACCAAAACTGATCTCTAAACATCAGGCTCCAAACTGACTGTGAACTGGATAACAAGGATCAACCTGGGAGAACTATTGCACACAGTGTTGGTTGTGGTCATAAAAGGCAACTGATGCCTTAGGGAGGTTCATAGAAATACACTGTTTTACTTAATCCCAGGGGAGTCCTATTACCATCTTTAAACATAGAAACTACACTTAGACATAAATACGATTTTAAGAAGAATATCAAGAAGGAGCTCACTCACATTTCAGATACTTCAAGAATTATTGCAGATATACATGCACACACACACACACAAAATTTTCTACTGAAGACAATCATTCAGTGAAAACTTTCTAACAAACAGTCATGGTTATGTTTCTAATACAGCTGAATCTGACAGCAACAACATACATCCCCTAGAGAAAAGAATCAGCACATATTTGAGCATAAAGCAAATCACGGACTAGCTGCTGCTAATACTTCATCTCTGCTTGTGTAACATAACATAGCAATATTTCAAATATTCCATCTGTTTCATATATATTACATCAGTATTTAGTATAATACCCCAGTAAGATAAGCTAATATCAACATCATATGGGAGATGGGATGGACAGCTGAGGCTTAGGGCCTAATGAGTCTTAGGCTGAATTGAGATTTGAATGACAGAATGCCTGGTTCACAACTTGTACTTTTGGTCAGCTTTTTAACAGATTCCTAAATTCCTCTAAAGAAGGTTTTGAAACCTATAGACCTTAATGTTGCTGAATCACAATTCCGAGAAGCCCCAGGGGAACATTATGGCTATCCAAAGCATTTCACAAAGCACTTCTCCTCAAATCCTGAAAACAGCCGCATCTTCTAGAAGACTCGTGTGGCTATATTAAAGCCTGGTGGTCTGTTCATGCATATCTGTGCACGAACAACCCTTCTACTGGGACTGCCAGCAAAGTAAAATAGCTGTGCACGCACCCATGTCTGAAGGGCTGCAGATCAGTCTTCAAAGGAATCGTGTAAGTCTTTCAAAGGACCTGGCTGTTTTAAAACTTCAAGGAGGTTTCACTCATGCTACCATAACACACTTCCTTCAAATGCTTTGCACAGCCTTAATGACCATGCAAATCTGAAGGGGCAGTTTCCTTCCCCCAGCTTTAAAGCCCTTTTTACCAAGGCCAACATGTTAATCCATCAAGAATCCCTAGGAAGCGGCAATATGGGTCTATTGTATGTTTTCTAAATGCAAGTCCTGTTAGCACTCATAGGTTCAGTATACATCCCAAACTTAAGCTTATAGGAACTTTAAACTAGAAACATTTTAAAAGTCAATTTTCAAGCAATTCTTTTCTAAATAGCAAATTACTTTCCCCCAAAGGGTCAAACCTCAGAAAGGTTTCACTTGAGGAAAAAAAAAGGTTTGTAGTTTTAAAATATATATGAATTTATTTAAAATAGCAAAGTCTACAGCTCCTGCAAGTACACAAAAATGGACTGAAACTCACATCTGGCAATTGCACCAGCTATCAGTGGGATATAGTGTCCTTGGCTGTTCAACTTAACATGTAAGAAATCACGTAGTTGATCATAAGTAGTGAAGTAGATCACAGTAGCAGGGACAGCCATAACTCTGCAGAAAAGAGAGTGTACACACATGTAGAAGCTCTACTTTGGCAATCCAATCTATTATCAATATCTATCTCATCACATCAAGCTCCAACATTTTGCATCAAGACAAAAAGTGCTGCAGCATTAAGAGAAAGTGATAAAACCTTGGAATTCTGTAGAAACCAATCCCCGGGACTCTGATATTCAAAAGTTTGAGCCGTATAATGCAGTTTGGGCTGCAATCAATTGAATTAGTTTTAGTTTGCCCTAAATCAGGGCCTGTGATCCTTTCCAGATTGAATAAAGAGATGGAACTTCTCAGAAGCAACACAGGAACAGTCTGGGATGCAGGTGCAAATGGAGTTCCGTTTGTCAGCCAGAAGCACCCAGATACAGTACGCCCAATAAACATCCCCTCCTGAGACTGCAGACTCAGAATTTGCATTTCCATGAAGAGCCATGGCCCTTTGTCACAGGTGCAGATCTTCCCTCAATCCTGGAAACAGAAAATGTGAGCTCTCTGAAAGAAGCAAAGGCAGAACTGGTGGAGGGCACCAAAGGAGAAGATACCAGACCAAAGTTGAGAAAAGAGGGGACTAACATCATTTTCCAGAGCTTCAGAGTGAAGTTGGAATTTCCAGGAAAAAGAGAGGGTAAAAGGAAACAGGTGTCTCTGCTTCAAGAAGAGTTAGTAGTTCTATAGAAAGAGGTATATGTTCTACTCAGGATTTGGACTGGACTATTTCTTTTGTGATATAGTGCTAGGTGAAGTCCAATTGTTTATTTTTATTATGCTTCTGTACAAGCTAGTGAACTCTATGCAATTTCAATTTTTCCCCATTCTTTGGGTTGAGCATATGAATAATATTTACAATGAGTTATGACATAGCAATTTGAACTCCCTATAATCTCTCTTTTGCCTGATAAATTACAGGTAATTTCCTATCCGTAGCAGACCCAGGCCACCTTATACTACGGCTGCATTTCTTTTGCACTTTCACTTTCTGTTTAGTTGCTGGTCCCAATCAGGGCAACTATGTAATTCCTCTGCTATGATCTTGAACATACAGTGGTACCTCGGTTCACGAACTTAATTCGTTCCGCGACTCTGGTTGCGACCCGAATCGGGCGCGGCCCGAATCAAATTTCCCCATAAGGTTCAATGTAAT